TGTGTGAGGCCCCGTGGAGAACTGTGGTGCCCTGTCCTCGGCCAGCATCCTCGGCCAGCATCCTCGGCCAGCATCCTCGGCCAGCATCCTCGGCCAGACTTTCCGACTGAATGCATTTTACAAGTGAGCCCATACGACACTAGGAAAGGGGCCATCCAGCCAACCTCAGAACTGTGATAAATAATAAATGATCAGTGTTCCAAGCAATTGAATTCGGGAGCTGTTTGTTATGGTTGGAGTAACTTCTCCGTTCATTCCAAATGGCAGCTACTTACGCTACCGCCTGTTCTGAGGAACAATTCTCGTTTTATGAGAAGCATCAGTTTTATGTCTCATGTAAACACTGCCACCCTAGGGCACCGATTTCTCCATCCTAGCAATGAGAAAAAAAATCTAAGGCGGTTTTGTTTGTGGAAATCCTAATGTTAATGGTATCCCCCGAAGACTGCTACGAGTCTAACAGAAAATGTTCTGAGCCTGGACACAGACTAGAAGACCCTATACCTGGTTCTTCCATTCACCAAGTAATCTATTTCTTGCCTATAAAAGGGGTTTGACTCCCTGGGAGTGATTTGTAGTGTGGGTTTACCTGTACTCTGAGTTTAGAAAAAAAGCATGGCAGGTCAGGAACAAACAGATAGGGAATGGAGAGTCTATTAAGTGGGTATAAGGGTTAGGAGGTATGAGGGGGACAGAGAGAAAAAGAGAGATAGAGGAACAGAGAGAGAGGGAAGAGGAGGGGAGGAGGGCGGCAGAGGCTGCCTCTGCAGAAGAAGAGTGGGCAGAGACAGAAAGCAAGGAAAGGGGCCTCAAGACCATCTTGCCTTGGGGGGGGGAGATTGGAGTCTTAAAGGGACAGGGTACTCAGGTGACAGGGCAGACCAGTATAACTATAACAAGTATACCTTAAAAATGAGAGTATGAGCAGGTAGGTACTTTGCATGGTTATATTGAGAATGAATGTATTTCCGTGATTATAGTTGATAGCCAATTTTTTTGTTGTTGTTTGGTTTTTCGAGACAAGGTTTCTCTGTAGCTTTGGAGTCTGCCCTGGAACTAGCTCTTGTAGACCAGGTTGGCCTCGAACTCATAGAGATCTGCCTGCCTCTGCCTCCCGAGTGCTGGGATTAAAGGCGTGTTCTACCACCACTGGACTTTGATAGCCAATTTGATTCAAGGCAAAAGGTGGAATTTTGTTTTTCTTCCCATTTTTTCTTGGGCATTTGGATCTAGAAATAATGACAATCTAAAATTTGATTTAGTTTGTTCCTTTCTGTGGTGGTCAAGCTCCAGTGAATATTGGGGACGTAAATGACACAACCAAATGCCAGGAACATCTTTCCATTCCCTTAAGAGCTAGGTGCAATGGGCTTGGACCTCATTTTCACATTTTATAAATCTCATAATTTCAAACCTCCCCACATGGTTTCTGCAAATTCTGTGAGCTTTTTATTGTTACCCCTACCTCCAGTCTCTTTTTTCAATTAGGGCTCAACTTTCACACTCAAGCATCCACACAGCCCCTTCTCAGAAAGCATCCCTGGGTCTTTTCCTAAAGCCTCCAGGGTCACAGGAGGTGTCCCATCATCTGCTTGACAAACGACATCTCTCTCAGGACTGCTCCTGTACTTGTTGACCTTCCTCAAACAGAGCTGGGGGGGGGTGGCTGTGGAAGGGTAGGGGTGGGGATGGAGGGATGTGCAGGCTTCTTTTGTCTCTGATCTGTGTTACCTTTTACTGACTTTAAAAAGTGTGTGTGTGTGTACACATGTGTGTTAAGGTACATGTGAAGTCAGAGGACAGCTTCAGGTGGCAATCCTTTCCTTCCACCCAGCTTTGACACAGGGTCTCTTGTGTGAGGCTGTACATGCCTGTGGAGTTCTCCTGCCTCCACCTCCTGTTTCACTGTAGAAGCAGAGAGATCACAGACTGGTCTTACTGTGTCTGGCTTTGCCTGAGTTTGGTCCTCATGCTTCTGGGCAAGCGCGTCACCCACTGAGCCACCTCAAGCCATGCATGACTCCCTTACTCATTTTCTTTTTCCTCTCCCTCCTCTATCACTTCCTCTTATTTTGCTGAGTGAATTCCAAATTCTTTTCTCCTCTTTGTTTTCTCCTTTTTTTGTTTGTTTGTTTTGTTTTTGAGACAGGGTATCTTTGTAGCTTTGTAGCCTGTCCTGGAACTAGCTCTCGTAGTCCAGGCTGGTCTTGAACTCACATAGATCCACCTGCCTCTGCTTCCTGAGTGCTGGGACTAAGGGTGTGTGCCACCACTGCCCGGCTCTGTTTGTTTTTTAACACAGCAATTTGGTCACCCAATTTCCTAAACTTACATTTGTCAAGGACAGACATTGAAGAAAAGGATCTTCTACGCACTGGGACTCGTGCTTCTAAGAAGGCAGTTGTGGTTAGAAATGGCATTTTTCTGCCGTTATAACCACAGCATTTCATATTTATTGAGTGTTTGCTGTGTGCCTGGCACTCTGTCAAGAGCTGTTCGGAATCATTTTCTCGTACAATCGCCACAACAATCCTGAGGCAGTTTTTGGTATTGATTTTCCTAAAGATAAGAAAGGGGTGCATGTGTCAGAAAAATGAGGTAATTGACCCAAGATCACTCAGCCAGCAAGTAGTAGAATAAAGATAAAGAAAACCATAGTCTTTGTGGGTCCAAGCCTGTGCTCTTTCTCCTCCATTTTCATGGCCTTTCAGGGGAAAGAGGAGCGAGCAATCAGACCTGAGGCTACATGAAAGCAATGCCATCTGCTCTCATATTGTTTGACAACTTTGAAAGGGTTGTTTTCCATGTTCTATCATTGTTCCTGTGAAGAATGGCTAGTTATTTCAAACTGGAGAAGATGGATAGCGAGAAAATAAAATTAGGCCTTGTGGGAGCAAGTTCAGCTTAGGGTGTTCTGTTTTGAGGCTATCGAGGTTGTAGGTGCCTAGGAGGGTCAGGTGGGACTGTAGGAGTCAATGTGAAGTCGCGTGAAGAAGCGGCAGAGGGATGGTCAAGTCACCCCCATAAGTAACTGAAGCCGCCAGGAGGATGGTGGGGCCACAGCCAGTGCAAACCATGCCAGAGGCTGAGATCTTCAGCGTGCGAGGAGCGATGAGGGGTCAGTGGTGAGGAACCAACCATAGAGGATGATAAGGCTGGGGGTCAAAGGAGAGCCATGCTGCCCCACCTCCTGGTGTTAATGATGTGGAGAAGATGACTTACCTTTCTGCAGAGGGCTGCCGTGGAGGCCATGTCCCAGAGGAGGATACGCTTTTCGTAAAGATGAAGAGGTCACCTGAGGACTCCAGAGGTGTGATGGGTAGAACTGGGGTTCTAGAGGTCAAACAGGGTGCGGGGACTGGACTGGAAGGACTGGCAGGCATCCTAATAAGCAGTGTAAGGACCGTGAGTCTGAAGGAGAGGCACAGAGGGGCACATCTGGGCTGTTCCCTGGGCTGCTGAGAAATACTGTATACAAGTTTTCATGGAACGGAGAAAAATCTGGCTTTGTAACCTGACTCATACTTCTAAGATCTGGGGTAGGGATGACTATGGAAAAGAACAACGCTGGGTGATGGTGATGCATATCTTTAATCCCAGCATTCAGGAGGCAGAGGCAGGGGGATCTCTGAGTTTGAGGCCAGCCTGGTCTACAGAGTGAGCTTTTGTCTTGAAAAATCAAAATCAAAAGCAAAAACAAAGAAAACAAACAAAAAACAAAATGAGAAGAAAAGAAAAGGACAACGAGGGGCTGGAGAGATGGCTCAGTGGTTAAGAGCACTGGCTGCTCCTCTAGAGGACCTGGGGTTCAATTCCCAGCATCCACATGGCAGCTCACAGCTGTAACTTCTGTTCCAGGGAATCTGACATCCTCACACAGACATACATGCAGGCAAAACACCAATGTCCATAAAAAATAAATAAATTATTTTTAAAAAGAAGGAAGAAAGAAAAGGAAAATTACTCTAGACCCAAACTGTCAATCCAGTGACCTCAGGAAAATGAGAAATGAAGTCTGCACTGGGATTTGAAGGTGAGATGCTATATACACCTCTTGAACCTACCACTCCTGGGAGAGTGGGCCCTCCTAAGGCTCAGACAAGAACATAAAGCACCCCAGTTAGCAGCCCCCACGGCTGGTAACAGGGAAGCAGTGACAATCCTTTTAACGAGGTCGATGACATTTCAAAAGGTTACTCAGAGAGGGAGGGGGAGAGGAGTGGGGGGAGGGGGAGAAGGGTGGGAGGAGGGGGAGGGAAATGGGAGGCTGGGAGGAGGAGGAAATTTGTTTTTTTTTTCTTTTCTCAATAAAAAAAAAAAAAAAGGTTACTCAGGCCACTGCCCTAAGGGGTGGAGAGAAGAGGCAGGAATTGGAAAGCATTAGTCCCTGAACCATGTTGCAGAGAAAAGGAAATGGAAGAGGAAGGACAGGCTATATTCAGATGGTATCATTAGCAGACTCAAAGGACACGGATCACGAAGGGATTGATGTGTGGGGCAGAGGATGACACCCAACTTCCTTTCTTAGCTTCCACCTGTAGACAGGCGTGCTCCCTCCTGGAGTGTTTATTTATTTATTTGTTTATTTATTTTTGGTTTTTCGAGACAGGGTTTCTCTGTAGCTTTGGAGCCTGTCCTTTAACTAGCTCTTGTAGACCAGGCTGGCCTCGAACTCACAAAGATCCGCCAGCCTCTGCCTCCCGAGTGCTGGGATTAAAGGCGTGCACCACCGCCCGGCTCCTTGAGTGTTTATGAAAACGGAGTAAAGCATTTGGAAATAGCAAAACCCGACATCATCATCATCTACATTATTACCAAAGCCCTCTGAACGCCCAGTTAGTGAAGACTACAGAACGTGGGCTGAGAATTAGGGCAGATTGTAATAGTCACCCAGATATAAGAGGGTCTGGGGCTCCCAAGAAATCCTGAATTCCCTACACCTGCCAGGGACAGAGGGGCGGGGCAAGTCTTACAGGGTTCCGCCCAGGGGCGGGGCCTGGACCCAGCGGGAACCCAACCCATTTCCAGCCAGATCCTAAGCCCTCGGTAGCCGAGGTGGGAACCAGACCCTCCCCGCCTGCCTCGCGCCCACAGCCAGCAGCAGGTGCGACAGTCCAGCTACACCGTCCCGGAGCCGGCTCCTGTTCGAGGTAAGGGGCGCGGCCCCGAGCAGCTGGAGAACCGAGTGCAAGGCAGCCTAGGGGACTCGGAGAGGGGCTGCGGGAGGCCGCCAGAGACCCGCACAGCAGCAGAGCAGGAGCGCGGGCCTCGCACCCGGGATCCCAGGTCGGCCGGGGATCAGCGACCGCTGGGGCTCAGGGGCAGATGAGCAGCAACTGCAGGCAGTGAAGGGTGGCTGGAGGCATCTAGCCGCGGGAGAGGGTACCAGGTTGCTGGGGGTAGTGGAAGGGTACTGAGAGGATGGAGGGAAGGCAAGAGAGATGGGGGTGTGTAGGTGGAGAGCTGGGGTGGGCCAGAGGGGCTTGAGTAAGGGCTGAAAGGAAGGGGCGCAGGGCAGGAGCGGGTGTCTGGTCAGGTGGAGGATTAGGGCTTCCGGGACGTGAGTGTGGTTTAACTGGTAGTGAAAGGGTACAGAATCAAGCCCATGTCGGGGGGGTCTCGGTGGATGGAGACATAGGGGTGGGACTTGGAGGGGACAAGCTTGAATGTAGGCAAAGGTAGGGAAGTCAGCCGGGTCTGTCCCACCCTCAGAGGGAGTGGCAGGAACTAGTTAGGGGAGAGGGTCGTGGCCCTGCATATGAGCGAGGGGTACCTGAGTTCTGGTCAGCAATGGATCAGGGTCTTGCTGCTGGAAGCAGAGGAACCTTGAAGGAACTTGGAGAGTCAGGTTGTGGGGGTGATGGGTCTGGTTAGGGAGGCGGCCACATGTGGGTGAGGTGGAAAATGTTGTGAGGTTCAGTACAGCCTAGGCACTGGCTGTGTCTTGGCTGTTCACAGCATGAGGACAGCAGGCGCTGGACCAGACTACAGTGCCGACTGGTGTCGTGGGCAAGAAGAAAACAGTGAACAGAAAAATTCATCCTCATGTAACTCTATCTTGGCATCTAAGCGTGGAAGAGACTTTGAGAGGGCAGGATGACAGCCTCTAGAGCCAGCAGAGGTGCGGAGTGGGCTTCTCATCCCTCCTTCCCAGAATTCAGATGAAAAGCTGTAGATTATAAACGTGTGTGTGTGTGTGTGTGTGTGCGCGCGCGCGCGCGCGCGCATGTGCACGTGCACGAGCATGCAGGTGCATACCCTCATACAAGCAGATAGAGCACACTCATTCTGTGCCTCAGAACCGAAGAGGAGAGCCCTTGCTACCCAAGCGTGAGGACTTAAGTTGAAAGCCTCAGTGTGTAAGGACCTGGTATGATCGCTCTGCCTGGAAGCCCAGCTGTGGGGGTGGAGACAGAGACGTTAAGACCCCTGGAGCTTGAAATTTGATTGTCTCAAAAAATAAAGTGGCAGGGCTGAGAAGATGACTCATCAGGAAGGAGCACTTGTTGCTCTTGTGGAGGACAAGGGCTCGTTCTTAGGAAGAGCATGTGGCTCACAACCACCCTAACTCCAGCCCCAGAGGACTCTTCTGACCGACATCTTCTTCTGACCTCAACAGGCACCAGGCACTAGCATGGTGCACATACAGACACATGGGCAAGACATTCATACACATAAAAAAAATTAAGTCCATCTAAAAGAAAAAAACCAAGGTGGAGAGCAATAGAGAAAGATACCAGTGCCCTCCTCTAGCCTCTGCATGTGCAGGGGTACACATGCACAGGGGTAAAAGCGCCTCTATCCATAAACCGCACACACACACACCACAAACACACACACACTGCACAAAATATAACTAAATAAAAACAAAAGAGGAAGACCATGGAAGTTGGGAAAGGCCACCTGTGGGAGTCAGGAGCCGTAGTAGGCAGATGGGTCAGCGAAGTCTCTTGGATGCTAAAGATGTAGCTAGCACTTGAGTAAGGCATGCTCCTACCAGAAGAGCAGCATGGGAAAGGTGCAGGATTGTGAAAGGAACCATCAACAATGGAGAATGTGCTCACGAGGCCCCTGCTCCATCCCTGCAGAGTTCAGGGAGGGCCTGGCAAAGCTGTGGGTGTGCGGTGACTGTGGACTGGGTGAGTGAGTGAGCGGTGGAGGTAAGACTCGAGAACAGTGTGAGTTGACGAGAGTTTTGTAGACTGTAAAGCACAGTACCAGAGAAGCCACTGTCACTATGCTGTGTGCTATGCGGCTGTAATGGTACCCCCGGCTCGCTCCTTCCGGTCAGAAGGAAGGAAAGCAACGTGCATCAAGTTTTGATTGTGTGAAGCTAGAATGCTTCTGAAGCAACTAGCAGAATGTTTAGTGTTTAGTAATCTTCAATAAATGGTAGCTGTCACGAGAGTGTCTCTGTGGCTCTGAGAGTCCTGGGAAAGCAGTGAGCCTGGGCTCCGCTGGTGGTGGCAGGCTGGCAGTCGGAAATGGTCTAAAGAAAGAGCAAATTGTAAAAGCGTGATTTGGGGGAAGATGGTCTACGATAGAACAAGATCCACACAGAGACCCAATTCCCTTTCAAAAGTTTTCAAATTTGTAAAAGTTATTATTATTTTGTGTTTGTGTGTGTGTTTGTGTCTCTCTGTTTGTGTACATGACGTGTGTAGGGGGCAGTGAGTGTGCCACACTGAAGACAAGGAGGTCAGAAGACAACTTGACGGGGTCAGTTCTCCCCTTTCACCTTTACTCTCTTCCGGTTGCTCCTGAGCTATCCTGATCACCTCCAGCTGCCTCCTTCCTCCATTAATAAATGTTCCGTGAGGAGGGCAGAGGGTGACATTCACCAGGCTTCTCCTGCGTTCCTTGTGCTATCTTAAATGCATCTTCCGCATCACCTACAATCTTCCCAACAAAGCTTGTTTAACTGTGCTAGTCATGTGACTTTCTTTATCCAGGTAATAATGCAGAAATGATAGAACAGGAAACTGAATCTAATTGGCTTGATTTTGAACCCCAAACTAAGATGACTTGATAGGAAATACACACGCACACTCACACACATACACACACACGCACACACACACAAAGCTAACAAGCCATCTCAGGGGGTAAAGGTCACTGCTGCCATGGCTGATGACTTAAGCCTGATCCTGAGACCCACGTGGTGGAAGGAGAGGACCTGCTCCTGCAAGCTGACCTCTGACCTCTTCCACAGGAGCACGGTGACACATGTGCACTTACAAGCATACACACGAAATAAGTATTTTTTTAAACTAAGAGGTTTATAAAGCTCGGAGGGTAGGCCAGCTGGCCCTGGAGAATCTTCCTGTCTCTGCCTCCCCAGCACAAGCCACCATGTTCAGATCCTGTGCTTTTGCTCGGATCCTGGATATTGAACTCATGTCCTTGTGCTTCTGGGGCAAGCGTTTTAGTGACTGACTAATCCATCCTCCCCGATCCTGTAAAGCATTCATTCACATGCTGACTTTAAAGTGTAAAAAATAGTTCTAAAAAAAAATAGTTCTAAAAAGCCATTTTATTCATTTATTTTATAATGCAGAAACCGAGGCCAAGGGTGTGATTTGCCTGTAGTTGCATAATTACTGCGAGAGCCCAACCCAGGTCCCTCAGACTTAAAGCCATGATGAGTGAGTCTTCAGACTCCATCAGAAAAGCACACCTATTGCCCCTGCACTCCATTTACCCAGTCCATCTCTTCCTGCGGGACTGTGGTCTCTTTCCTTCTTGCTCGCTCCTATCCTAACCGAAGTCAACGTCTTCCTTAGCTGTGTATTTTTTGCTGCCCACGAGACTGAAAGGGTTGTTTTTCATAACAGCCTTTTGGGGAGACACCCCCTGAGAAGTCTGGGACCAAGTATGGCTTTCCAGATGATTTCCGGACCTTCATCTGTATTGCTCGTCACGGAGACAGAGAGCTTCCCAGCTTTATCATTTTATGCGGCTGTCACAAAAGAGGGAAGATCTGATCGATGCTTATCGTACAGATGCGGTTCTGTGGGCACCACTGTGCAGAGCAGCCAGCGACCTGTCTGCTCAGATCTGCCTCAGGCAGCTGCCTGCTGAGATACTTTCTGCTTCTCTAGCAAAAGTCTCTGTCACCCCTGCCCCCCCTCTGGGAAGATGCCCTCAAGGGGGCTTCCATCCGAACCCTTCCTTTCTGCTCTCCTCCTCTCTCTGTTCTCATAAAACCTCCTGGGAAAGCCGCACCGTGTCCAGATAAGCAGACTTGACAGCCCCGCTGGTAAATGCGGCATGGTGACTCGACACTCTGTCCTGAGAATGCTATTTCACTCACCTGAAATTTGCTATGACTTTATTTTCCTTAGACCCAGCCTAATCTGGGAGACGTGCATCCTAGCCACCAACTGACTTGTCATGTGACCTTAGACAAATCACTATTCTTTATGGAGCCTCAGTGTTTCCTACCTGGGATGGGGCGGGCAGATCAGGGTTTAAAATGTATGGTCGCAGGATGGGAGGATCACTCAGTGGTTAAAAGCACTTGTTGCTCTTCCTGGGACCTGGGTTTGGTTCTCCGCATTGGCACCCACATGGTGGCTCACAACCATCTGGAACTCCAGTTCCAGAGGATCCAACACCCCCTTCTGGCTTCGGCAGACACTGTACACATGTAGTATACAGACATACAACACACACAAAACACCATATACATAAAGTAAAAATAAATCTTTAAAAAATAAAATGAAACTTTATTTGATCCTCTCCCACTCCCCTTTTCCCCATCACTCCCCACTTCTTCTTCTGCTCCCCCATCACTCCCCACTACTCCCCTTGCTCCCCCATCACTCCCCACTCCTCCCCCTGCTCCCCCATCACTCCTTACTCCTCCCCTGCTCCCCATCACTCCCTACTCCTCCCCTGCTCCCCTATACTCCCCATTCCTCCCCTGCTCACCCATCACTCTCTACTCCTCCCCTATTCACCCATCACTCCCCACTCTTCCCCTGCTCCCCCATCACTCCCCACTCCTCCCCTGCTCACCCATCACTCTCCACTCCTCCCCCTACTCCCCCATCACCCTCCACTCCTCCCCCTACTCCCCCTTCACTCCCCACTCCTCCCCCTGCTCCCCCATCACTACTTTAGCATAACTAGTAAAGTTAGGCAAGTT